GGGGGTTATGTTTGTTTTCTTTCAGTTTTTTCTTTTATTTTGGAGGTGTTTTTAATAAAACAATTATTCCACTCGCGCTTCTTGGATATTAGATGACTACAGCCAACTTGTTGGCTCTTTATAATCCCATATCTAACGCACGCTTGTGGAATGATTGTTAAATATACCTAATTAACGAAACAAACAAACAATGTTGACAGATTCTAAAATGATCCTGGTTGTGTTGTGTAAGTAGAAAACTTCAAAATCAGCATTGATTAGCTTCTATTAGAAGTATTTTTTTTTAATGTTTTCATTTGCGTTCGCTTTTAGTGGTAGAGGACCCAAAGGCGAAGCCGTCCTTCAGCTGGCATACGCTTGGAGAGCATGCGCAGTCAAGTGGGGCGAGCTTTCCAAGTTGCCTAAAGCAGTTTTGGAGTCGGAGTTAAAGAAAGCTATTCAGGAAGTGTTTCCAGGAGCAGTCTTACCAGAGCCTCTGGATATGGTGTTCAAATATTGGGAGAAAGTAGCTTGGTGAGCAAACTTTTCTGCGAGAAGCTCTTCGGTATAGGAAATAATCACATATCATTACGGCAACCATATTAATGAAAAGTTAAGCCTAAATTTTTCAAGTTCGTTGTTTGTAATCCGTGCTAATCTTCTCCATCCTTAACCATCCTTGTTCGTTTATGGTTTATTACTATCTATTTAGAGTTTTTCTATCTTAGTGAACAACTATTTCCAGGTTTCTTTCAGTTTAAAAGTAATTTTGTCCATGGCCAAAATAACTCAAATTGCCGGCCCTAGAAAAAAGTCCTCCCTTAGGAATTGAGTTCCGTTCTTGAGCAATTCATTTCTCTTCTTTCTATTGTATGGGAAAGCCAACGTGGCTGCCATGAAAACGCCCCGATTTATATAATTGTTCGCCCGAAAATATTAGTCCTCGATTATTTCGAGAGCTAAGGCCCTTTTGAAAAGGAATACTTGTTTCAATATCTACCTCATATAAGCATTTCAGGGTTAGGCAACAATCATTTCAGATAATGGCTGAAATTAGACAATTAAATTGATCTCTATTGATTTAAAAACCAGCGTTTGGAGGGTAACTATTCTCCTGAGGCTCAAAATGTCTTTTCGACTATTCAAGACAACTGACAACAACCTACACAACAGTCTACAACGCGTGACCCACAACGCATGAGAGAAATGATTTTTTATAATTGTTTTAAATGATACAAAGAATCCGGCTGGCTTGGTAGCTTGTCCCATTTAAGGCCATAGCTAGTAAGAGGCAAACAGAGGTACTTGCCTCTGTCATTTATTTCGTTTTTGTTGTTTATAGTCATCATAAACATCCTAAATACCTAGGAAGAGAATTAAACCATGGACATTGCCTCAGCCATTTTTTTTGTTCTAGCCACGGACCTGCCCTTCCGTAATCACGTGGTTAATTTACATTACACTAAGCGAATGACGATTTTTGGCTTTTGCAGGTTTGTAGTTAGTTAGTTAGTCGTCTAAAACAATCCCAGAAATACCCAAACTTACCATCTAGTTTCCCTGCATGAAATCAGTGTCAACGACCTGCGCTTAAGTTAATTGAGGGAATGGTTAAGAAGCCTGGTAAACATCAAAGAAGCAACAAACAGGCTAATATTTATGTTGTTGTTTTTTGATCATTGACTATGCATGAATTACATTATCGCAGTGCCTCTATTGGTTAGTTGAATGAGCACACACAACTACCTTTTGTATTTTGCCAGGTTTCGTTCAGGGTCAGCCCCCAAAATAGCCAACAAAAACATAAAACAAAGAACTTTACCAGGTTTCATAACCATTCCCCTCCATTACCTATGGCTGACCTCATTTTTAATAACACGCACTACGTGTTCTTTCCAACAGGCATCACACAAAGGCGGGTTCTAACGTAAGCCGATATGATCTAATGAAATGGGCCCAACGTCCATTTCCTGGTGAAGACGTTTTTATAGTAGGTGAAGCATATTCAGGCATTGTGGAATGGAACGAAGGAGCTCTTCAGTCAGCTTACAACGCCCTAAAGGAAGGCTGGGAAATAACGCAACCAGAGGCTAATTAGAAAGAACAGAGAACGTTCAACCTCCCCTAACGTTGCTTCATGTAAGGGTAATGAAATAGGTCCAGTTCAGAGTTGTCTTTTGTCACCTAGTCAAAAAGAGTCCTTTTAGAAAAACCATTTACTCTTACCTGCACGTTCCTTTCATGCATGCAACGTAATTTTCAATTTTTTTTTTTTTGCACGAATTTTGTTCCACGATCTATTCTGAAGTTAGTTCGTTAAATTCCCACTGGTATTTTACTCTCAGACTTAATATTCTTGTTTTTCTGCCAATTTTAGACTGAAAATATTCTTGTGAATCTTTTTAGGTTATGACGTATGACGTTTCCGTTTTATTGACTTTGATGGCGTTGCATGAAGTAATTTTGGAGCCCGACTGCAGGCAATAAAACTCGAAATGATTATACGAAACCTCTCGCAGAAATGCTAATAGGATCGAACATACCGCTAGTGCTGTTTTTATTGTCTTTTGGCTAGTTTTGCCTCTTAGAGAAAGGAAGATTTTTATATGATTTAGTTAAAAACATGCAATATTGTAATCGTGAAAGGTTAATTGATCAACATGACACGAGCGCGGGACAAAGGAAAATCTTACAGTGTTGATCCTAACAGTATGTAGGACGCCTGTCACATATGAACTCAGTTAAATGAGCTTGCTCTTCATGAGTTTTCGTAGCTCAGTGGACGGAGCGCCCGCCCGGTGTTCGGGAGGTCACGGGTTCGATTTGCTTCGGGAGCTCAGATTTTTTCTTTGTCCCGCGCTCGTGTTATGTTGATCAATTCACCTTTCACATTTCATCAACGAGGTTAAAATTCACCATCTTTATTCACTTATCAATATTGTAATTGTATTACAAACAAAATTACATTATTTTTAAAATCTCAGCCTCGAATTTATTCTTAAAACATTCTTAAAATCTGGCAAATTTCAGCCTTGATATTCTGATAAAATGTATTCTCACAGAAAAAAAGAATAAAACGATCTTTGATACGTTTTCATGCATACAAACAAGGGAAAATATTAACGTAAAAATACACTCCTTTCCCAAAGGAAAAAATTTATTTCCACCTTGACCTCATGTGAAAAGCACAAAATGTGACATGGGTCATGAATGAGTATGACTTCGAAAACTCAAAACTTGAAAGATGTATTTCCATTGATCGAAGCCCAAATGTAATGATAAAGTTCTGTTAGAAATTGCTATATAAATGGGTTAAAGAAAAATGTAAAAGGTTTCACACAATCGTAGAAGTGCTCGATGCAAATACATGCAGAGCGGAATACTATAATTACAGATAGAGAACGTACGGACAGTTACTCGAGTTTCACGCACGAAGCGTCTGATGATCGCTTCGTGTGTGAAACTCGAATAACTGTCCGTACGGTCTCTATCTTTAATTATAGTATATAAATGGGTTATGCATATATGAACTAAAATTTTAATGCCAAATTGAAATATCTGACATACGTTATCTAACTTTGTCCTCGCGTCGCGGCGAAATCGTTAAAATTTCATTGCAATTCGTTGTCGGGCTCTTCGACAATTTAGTAAACATTGTGTTCTTGGAGACGTTCTAGAAGTACTTCTTTCCACTTCATGTGGTGCTGGTTCTACTTTCTATCCATAAAAACTGTGACTAAAACCCCTAGCTATGTGTGTCCACTTACTAAACGACCACCATTGAGCAGTATTTCCGTGCTGTAAAAGGTGGTATTATCTCGAGATTCCTATGAGGTAATAAATAATGCATGAGGCAGCTGAGGATTGAATTAACTGTCACCTCACAGAAATCGAGACGAGTCAGAGAAATCTAGAGAGTCAACCGAAAATTTAACTGTCAACCGTCAAAAAGGTATAATTTTTTAACCATCGAAAGTAGCCCCTCCCCACCTACCCACCCACCCCCTCCCCCTCATCAAGACCCTCTCGTAAGGATAGGCGACTGTTGCTGTTGTCGTGTTGGGCAATTTTTTGTATCACGGACTAATTTTGTGTGCTTCTTCTCATGGTGTGAATTTGAGTCCAAGCATCTGTCGGTGTGAGTAGACTTCCGGTAAAAACATCAATGGTGATAAGACCGTCTTTTTTTTTTCTGGTGACTAAGGTCTCTAAGAAAGATATTTGCCCATTGTTTTCAGTCTCGATGGCGAAAGAGATCTTCGGGTCGATCGAGTTAAGGGTGTCATGAAAGGTTGAGGTGGAGTGTTTTTTGATAATAAGGAAATTAAACTGTCATCAACATAGCGTTTCCAAATTTTCGGTGGGGATTGTGGAAGCAGTAATGGCTGATTTTTCGATTATTTCCATGCAGAGATTTGCAGCGACCCGGCTGGCAGGGCTACCCATGGCACAGCCGTGGTTCGGCTTGTAAATAGAGTCGCTGAATACAAAGAAGTTGTTTGATAGAGTGAATTTCAGGAGAGAGATGATATCATCATTGGTGAGATTGGTTCTTAAGTGTAGAGTTTCGTCTTCATTCAGGTTTTTGCGAATATATCAGAGCTTTTAATTTATATCGACAAGAAGAGCTGTAAAGAGGATCAAAGAGTGCAGAGACAAAATCGAATGATACTATGTCATCGTCATCCGAGAGATTTCCAGATTAGCGACTTGTTCCGCAAATTTCATTGAATTAGGAACGGTTTAGCCGTTGATATTGTGGATCGGTGCTAAGATGTCAGCTAGGAATTTAGAGGTGTTGTAAAGGGCCGAGCCAGGGCAAGAAACAATCGGTCGGAGAGGATAATCTGGTTTGTGGTGTTTAATTGAGAGGCGTATGGCTGGCGGAACACCTCGGTGGATCGTAGTTCACGATAGGTCGATTTGTCGATCTTGCTTTTTTCCTAAGTTCCGGTTACCTCTTACTTAATTCTTTTTCAATCTTCGCAAACGGGGGATTTTTGTCAAACTTTGATTGCAGACAGGCAATCAAAAGCTCCAGTAACTTTAAACTACTTTAACCAAAGAACAATTTATATATATTTTGAATATGTCTTATCCTGGTTACTCGTCCATTTTTAAAAATAACAATAATAAAGCAAAATCAAAGAGAGGCAAGGGGGATCAGATTTAGACGGTACCGATTTTGAGGAAAAAGGTCCTCGTAGTCGGTACGGTTCCAGCCTTTTCTAGTCGCGCGTCGTTGAGTTATTTCAGTTTTGAAGTAGTGCCGAAAACGGCCACAGAAAAAATAGGGAATGGGTTTCACGACTAAAAACAGGCTAAGTTAGTCGATGGCGTCCATCTTGGAGACTCATAAACTAACAAATGAACTTAGTCAAAAAAAAAAGCTAGTCAGCGCACACATCCTGCAATGGCGTATCTCTTAAGTGGTAAAAAAAAACAACGAAAACAAGAATTGTACCACGCAAAACAAATAAACAAAGCAGAAAAAAACAGTATTGTTTTTTTAACTGCTTGTCAACTATGTATTGCACGAAGGTTTCTCATGGTCCTGAAAAAATCTCACACAATTTTTTAAACCAGCACTTTTTCATTTTCTTTGTTTCGGTCCCACAAT